TGCTTCAGGACCTGGAAGACTTGCTGTGATAAATGGAACCATGAATTCTGCTGTTTACCCAACCAGTTATTAGGTTTAGGGGGCAAACACTTCTTCACACAGGGCCATGCAGTTTTGGATTTTGTTTTCCCTTAATAATAAAAACCTTCATTTAAAAACTGCATGTTGTGTTCACTTGTGTTATCTTTTACTAATATTTAAATTTGTTTGATGATCTGAAACATTAAAGTGTGACAAACATGCAAAAAAATAAGAAATCAGGAAACACTTTTTCACACCACTGTAGGTTGAATTAAAGCGGATGGATGACGTGTTCACAACATAAATAAACCCGACAGTGATTGACAGGAGTGTTTTGATGGCATATGTGCATGTATTTACTCATGTAATTAATAATACAGGGCTGGGAGGAAATAAACTAACGTCAGTGTTACTCAGCTTTTTAAGCGGAATCTAGACAGGCCAGTATACTATTATAAAGCTTTTCTACTCAATGTAAGGATTTATCAGTCCTCTGATGAAGGCAGTACCTGTAGTTCTCGTTTTCACACATCTCCTCTTTCCTGATGCGGGCCAGAAAGGTGCCGCCCTCCAGCCGCAGGCGGTTGAGTTTGGTGTCGTCCAGAACGCTCTTCATGAGACTCTTCTGCTGGCTGATGACCTCTGACACCTCCTACAGACGATCAATATTCAAATCAGCCTGTGTGAAGCTCCGCCCCTCCGCTGAACTTGCATTGAGTTACATTTAAAAAAAACATTACAAAGTAACAAAAGCAGAAGGCAACAGTTGCTAAGCTTGGATTGGTCAGTAACATTTTTAAGGCGGGGCTTAGCAAAGGGAACGCCGTAAACAAGGCAATTTAAATCATTTTCAATTGTGCTGCAGAGAATGACCATAAAATCACAGAGTTTCTGTCGACAGAATTACCTCAGACGTCTCCAGACTGCCGATGCTGCTCAGCGTCTCGATGGAGCTTTGAAGAGAAGCGATCGCAGCGCTGCAGCTCGCAGCAAACGGTTCGATTTTCTGTCAGCGGATAAAAAACAAACAAACTTAAGCACATTTTTTGCATTTTAAGTGTATTTTTAAAGTGTATGTAAGTGTGTAAAGCGTATTTTAAGTGTATTTTTTTAGAGTGTATGTAAGTGTGTAAAGTGTAATTTAAGTGTATTTTTAAAGTGTATTTTAAAGTGTCATTTAAGTTTATTTTTAAAGTGTAAGTAAGTGTGTAAAGTGTCATTTAAGTGTAATTTCAGTGTATGTAAGTGTGTAAAGTGTATTTTTAAAGTGTACGTAAGTGTGTAAAGTGTAATGTAAGTGTAATTTCAGTGTATGTAAGTGCGTAAAGTGTAATTTAAGTGTAATTTAAGTGTATTTTTAAAGTGTATGTAAGTGTGTAAAGTGTAATTTAAGTGTATTTTTAAAGTGTATTTTAAAGTGTAATTTAAGTTTATTTTTAAAGTGTATGTAAGTGTGTAAAGTGTAATTTAAGTGTATTTTTAAAGTGTATGTAAGTGTGTACAGTGTATTTTAAGTGTATTTTTAAAGTGTATGTAAGTGTGTAAAGTGTAAGTAAAGTGTAATTTAAGTGTATTTTTAAAGTGTATGTAAGTGTGTAAAGTGTAATTTAAGTGTATTTTTAAAGTGTATGTAAGTGTGTACAGTGTAATTTAAGTGTATTTTTGAAGTGTATGTAAGTGAATAGTGTAATTTAAGTGTATTTTTAAAGTGTATGTAAGTGTGTAAAGTGTAATTTAAGTGTATTTTTAAAGTGTATGTAAGTGTGTAAAGTGTAATTGTATATAAGTGTGTACAGTGTAAGTGTATGTAAGTGTGTACAGTGTATTTTAAGTGTATTTTTGAAGTGTATGTAAGTGTGTACAGTGTAAGTGTATGTAAGTGTGTACAGTGTATTTTAAGTGTATTTTTGAAGTGTATGTAAGTGTGTACAGTGTAATTTAAGTGTATTTTTGAAGTGTATGTAAGTGTGTACAGTGTATTTTAAGTGTATTTTTGAAGTGTATGTAAGTGTGTAAAGTGTAATTTAAGTTTATTGTGTAAAGTGTATGTTAGTTGTATTTTTAAAGTGTATGTAAGTGTGTAAAGTGTAATTTAAGTGTATTTTTTAAAGTGTATGTAAGTGTGTACAGTGCTATTTAAGTGTATTTTTAAAGGGTAAGTGTATAAAGTGTAATTTGAGTGTAATTTTAAAGTGTAATTTAAGTGTATTTTTGAAGTGTATGTAAGTTTTTCTAATTTGCATACAGGTTTTCTTTTTCTTTCATTACTTTCTTTTTTATGCTATTGTTATTTATTTTTATTATTCTTTCTGGTTTACACTTTACTGTATATTCTATATTTTTAATTTTTAATTTTTAATGTTAAGTTATGTTTGTTCCCCTTCTACCCTGTCATTCTCGTGAGGAGTAAACAAAGTAAGAATTTCATTGTTCATTCACATATGACAATGAAGCTCTTGAATCTTGAATCTTTTCTTCCTCAAAAATGCAAAAGTTTTAAAGTAGCTCAGGGTTTCCCAAACAGAGCTTTGTGAGTTGATGACAAGCTAATAATTAAATCCTAAAAATATAAAATAAATATCAGGGTTCACGCGCTGTAAGACCTTCAAGAGCATGGTTAAAAAGATATTAGATATTGGGGATGAAATAGACCATTTTAGGTAATTTGCCATAAAAAATATAGAATTTGTGAGCTTTATAACTGTTACAGTGATACCTAATTATCTTTATAAAAGTTTGCATGCTTCTTTAGGACTATACATCACATGTTCTTTCCTGTTTTGTGAAGTTTTGTTTAGGAATTATAGGCTTTTATTTGTTATATTTGGCCACGTCCATATTTTACATTATCATTATAGCCATCCAAATACTAAAGTTCAATTTGTTTTTTTGGATAATTATTGATCTAGGGATCAAAGATTAGCACTAATAATATAATAAAATCTAAATAATAATACAATTTGCTTTGTGCTTGAACCCCTAATGAATAAATAAAAAAATATATAATATATTTGTTTACCTTTATGTCATTTGACCATTAACCATCTTCAGAGAACCGTGAATAGTAATAATTATAATAATAATAAAATCATAATAAAATCTTGAAATCTAAATAACAATAAAATTTGCTTCATGCTTGAACCCCTAATGAATAAATTAATTAATTAATTAAAAAACATATATACATACATACATATACATACATACATACATACATGTATATATTTAAAAAATATATGTAATATATATTTATATATATACTGTACATACACACACACACACACACATGTAAATATTTCTAAAATTTATATATGT